CTCGCCGAGGGCCTCCATGGTGACGGGCGTCCCGGCTGGACAAGCCACGTTAGCGCCGCTTGCCGACCCAGCACCTGCTAGACGCTGGAGAAACTAATATTGTAGCGCTCGAGGTCCTTTTTCGTCCACTTTGAGTGGTGAACTCCCCGCCCGTGGTACTTGATCTGGTGATTTAAACACACCTTTCACTGGGATCCCCATGTGGTGCTTTTTCTGCTGGCACCTCCGAAGAGCGAGAAGGGCGAGAAGAAACTGGATAGTGGCGTGGTGTGAGAAGGAAAAGTTGTATGCATGGTGTGATCAAATATATGGGGCTTGGCGGGCCGAAACCTTGAGCTCCTAGAAGCCCCCACAAAACGCACAAGAAGCCCTCAGGAGCAACACACAACAACCGCCAGTTCCCCAAGGTGTCAGCAGTGTGGCGTAAGCCCAAGAATCAGGCCACCTCTCCAACCCGCCGCCACCCCAAACCATACCAGAATGTGGAAAACTCGTGCCCAAGATTGCCAGTAAATGGTCCACGGTGGCCCTCAGGACGGCCTCAACACGCCCCCGAGAAGCCAGCCTTCGACCTCCGAGGGGGGGGGGGATTACGGACCCCTCCCCTTTTCTTCCATGTGGCCCGAGATCGCCAAAAGGGGGCCCCAAGACCCCTCCCCCACCACCCACCCACCCAAAGAGCTCCAAAAGAGCCCCAGTACCGCCCCAAAGCAAGCCCCAAGAGAGTCCCAAGAGGACCCCGCGAAGCCACAAGAGGGTCCCGAAAAGAGCCCCGAAAAGGGCCCCGAGACGGCTCCAGGAGTGTTCGAAGACCGCGACAAGGCTCTAACAACTGAAAGCCAGCGAAGGCGTTCTCCTCTTCCTCCCGCTCCTCTCCTCATTATCATGTTCCTCCTCCTCCTCGTCCTCCTCCTCATCACCATCCTCAGCATCATCATCATCATCATCAGCATCATCATCATCATCATCATCATCATCATCATCATCATCATCATCATCATCATCATCATCATCATAATCATCATCATCATCATCATCATCATCATCATCATCATCATCATCATCATCATCATCATCATCATCATCATCATCATCATCATCATCATCATCATCATCATCATCATCATCATCATCATCATCATCATCAGCATCATCATCATCATCATCATCATCATCATCATCATCATCATCGTCATCATCATCATCATCATCATCATCATCAGCATCGTCATCATCATCATCAGCATCATCATCATCATAATCAGCATCATCATCAGCAGCAGCAGCAGCCGCAGCTGCAGCTGCAGCTGCATCAGCATCGTCATCATCATCATCAACAGCATGACCATGATCATCATCAGCATCATCAGCAGCAACAGCAGAAGCAGCATAATCATCATCATCACCACCATCAACAACAACAACAACAACAACAAAACCAGCATCGAGGTAATACAAAAACTGACATTAGTATTAAGAGTAAGCATCAGCATCAACAACAGGAGCATCATCATCAGCATCAGCCTCATCATCAGCATCATCATCAGCATCAGCATCCTCCTCCTCCTCCTCCTCCTCATCATCATCAGCATCAACATTATCTTCATCACGGTCATCAGCATCATCAGCAGCAGCATCCTCATCATCAGCAGCATCCTCATTGTCATCAACTTCACCATCGCCGTCGCCGTCGTCATCATCAGCAGCAGCATCAGCAGCAGCATCATCATCCTCTTCATCATCATCCCCATCAGCATCATCAGCATCATCATCGTCATCATCATCATGGTCATCGTCGACATCGTCGTCATCATCATCGACATCATCATCATGATCATCATCATCATCAGCAGCATCAGCATCAGCATCCTCATCATCAGCAGCATCCTCATTGTCATCAATTTCACCATCGCCGTCGCCGTCGTCATCATCAGCAGCAGCATCAGCAGCAGCATCATCCTCCTCTTCATCATCATCCCCATCAGCATCATCAGCATCATCATCGTCATCATCATCATGGTCATCGTCGACATCGTCGTCATCATCATCGACATCATCATCATGATCATCATCATCATCAGCAGCAGTATCATCATCAGCATCATCATGCTCCTCCTACTCTTCCTCCTCCCCCTCCTCCCACGTGCCTGGACATCGGTTCTGAATGGAATTGATGCGCTGCTGCATGGGCGCCTCCTCCTCCTCCACCTCCACCTCCTCCTCCCAACATTCCTCTAGGACGCCTCATGAGGCTTCTACGACAACCAGCCTGTGCATCGGACTCCTCCTCATTTCCCTCATCCTCCTGTACCTCCCCCTCCTGGATGACATGGATGCTGTTCTGCACGGGCTCTTCCGTCGTCGGTCGGATCTGGTGTTCCACAGAAAATTGTGGGCGACTGGTCTACCGCATGCGACTACACTTGGTTGACCAGGGCCACGCGCCTCGGCATCGTTTCTCGCCAAATCCATGGATCGGGGAAGGTGCCCTCCCCAAAATGCGGCCAGTGCCGCCTCGCTCGGCGGCGGAAATCCACGATGTCCCATGGAAACAGGACCCGTCGCTAATCCACGCCCCCTGGATCCATGTTTGCGATCCCCTGAGATTGGCAGTCGATTGAGCCTAGTGGCAGTCCATTGAGCTAATCCCCCCTGAAGCTGCCCCTGAGGCACAGGGTGAGCTCAGAAGCCGCTTCAGAGGAAGAACTGTGCATAAGAGCAGAAACTTTCGACGCCCCTCGCGGATTTCATCGATCTGCGCTGAACTTCCCTCCCTGGCGCGCGGAGCGCGCCAGGGGCGGCGCTGGAGGCGCCACCAGGGGGTCCCTGGCGCCGATCCAAGAAATCCGGCGGGGCTCTTTATCGGCGAACGAACAGCACGCACCCATACCCGTAGGGTTAGGTCGGGCCTGTCCCCCAGGGGGGGGTTGGGCGAAAAATTAACAATAGTCTTGAAACACTCTCGAAATATTCAAAACATGTCACAACAAAAACAAAATATCGTCCCCATAAGATTCGCTTTACTATTTGTCCCTTCCTAGGCTCTGCCTAGAAGGGTTCTTGCCCGGTAAACATAAAGGGCCGGGCAGTGCAACTCGCCCCGGGCGGTTCCCCCAGCATCCGCCCCACGGTTCCCCCAGTCCCATGGGAGCTTTAGCTTTAGCTTTAGCTTTACCTTTACCTTTAGATTTAGCTTAGCTTTAGCTTAGCTTTAGCTTAGCTGTAGTTCAGTTTTAGCTTAGTTTTAACTTAGATTTAGCTTAGCTTTAGCTTAGATGTAGCTTAGATTTAGCTTAGCGTTAGCTTAGTTTTAGCTTAGCGTTAGCTTAGCGCTGCTTACCTTTAGCTTAGCTTTAGCTTAGCTTTAGCTCAGCTTTAGCTTAGCTGTAGCTTAGCTTTAGCTCAGCTTCAGCTTAGCTGTAGCTTAGTTTTAGATTAGCTTGAGTTTAGCGTTAGCTTAGCTTTAGCTTAGCTTTAGCTTAGCTTCAGCTTAGGTTTAGCTTAGATGTAGCTTAGCTTTAGCTTAAAGTTAGTTTAGATTTAGCTTAGCTTTAGCTTAGCTTGAGCTTAGCTTTAGCGTAGCTTTAGCTTAGCTTTAGCTTATATTTAGCTTAGCTTTAGCTTAGCTTTAGCTTAGCTTTAGTTTAGCTTTAGCTTAGCTTTAGCTTAGCTTCACTGCTACTACTAATGCTGCTTTCCTGGGGGCTCCAACTCCTAGGTAGGGTCGCACTGGGATAATTGAATGTTCCTCCTGTAGAGGGACAGGCCCGAACTTATTCATAGGGGGGACGGAAAGGGCTATGGGTGCGTGAGCGCGTGGTCGGGTGGGGGTGTCCGCTCGAACGGGAGCCCCCCCCCCGCGGTCCGACCACCCGCACCCATACCCATAGCCAGTCCTCCTCCCGGACCCCCTTCGGGTACTCTGGATTGCTGAACAAGCGTGGGAAGGGGGATCGCGTGGGGGGATGGAGATGGCTTGTCCTGCGAGGGGCGTGGGGGTGTGCCAATCTTGATGCCGCTGCGCCGTCCCGCGTGGGTGTCGGTTTTGGTGCCTGTGCGGGGGCGCGCGTGGGGGGGTCGGAACGGGCCGTCTGCCGGGATGGCACGGGGAGGCCGCTCAGCATGCAATCTGGAGTATGGGTGTGTGTGTGTGCGTCTTGTAGGGAGCCACATGCGAACCCTACCCCTAACCCCCACGATTTCCGAGGGGGGTAGGGGTAGGGTTCACATGTGGCCCCCTATCTTGTTCTTTCGTCACTCGTTGATGCCGCTGGAGTCAGCGCGCGACCGTGGCGATCCCGGGAGCCACGGCAGGCGGCCTGGGTGGGGCCGGGCGCAGCGGCCGGGACAAGAGGAGGGCCGCAGCAGGGCCGCAGCAGGCGGAGCGGGCCCGGGAGCCCGGGCACGGCGCGCGAGCATCGGCACGACGAGCAGAGCCGGCGTTCGGAGGAGGCCACGGGCGGGGGGAGCCGGGAGCGGGGAGGGAAGGGCACACGAGAGGGATCCAGAGGCACACCACCACCACCACCACCACCACCACCCCCACCACCACCACCACCCCCACCACCACCACCACCCACCACCACCACCACCACCACCTCCTCCTCCTCCTCCTCCTCCTCCTCCTCCTCCTCCTCCTCCCTCCCTCCTCCTCCTCCTCCTCCTCCTCCTCCTCCTCCTCCTCCTCCTCCTCCTCCTCCTCCTCCTCCTCCTCCTCCTCCTCCCAGGGACGGGGGAGGCGACAAGCGAGGGTGGAGGAGGGAGGGGGGCATGGGCGCGGCGGTGGCGTGGCGTTCTCGGGGCCCGCAGGCGAGGAGAACGCTGGGAATGACGAGCACGAGGTGCGCGGCACGCGACAGGTGGGCCACACGCGCCAGGTGAACGGGGCGCGCCCAAGTGCGACAGGTGCGCAGACGACGCCAGGTGCAACGAGCTCCCCAACTGAGCAGCCAGGCGGCGGTTTACGATGCCACCCCCCCCTCCTCCCAGCCCCCCGGGTCCTGGGTGTACCCGTTCCGAAAGTTCTTGTCCTGCTCTTGCGGCGGCCCGCTAGACCTTGCCGTCCTCCGTCCCCCCGAGTGCGCGGGTACATGAGCGTCCTCGCACGGAAGCGATCACATTCACGACCACCCTACCACGACGCTCCTGAGACCCAATCTGTCTCTTTGAGAGGGCGAGCGGAGTCGCTGCACACTGGCCAACATACCCTTCGATGGGCACAGCGCCAACAAAACGCGGTATGGGGGTGCCAGGCGAAGTCCGCGAAGGCCAACACCATAATATACCGCAAAGTGGTCTGACGGTAGGTTCACATGGGCGCCCTCTCGCTACATTCGTGAAGCCTTCCTCAAGCCCCCAGGGATGCCGGAGTGAAGCTCCAAGAACACCCCAAGATGGTCCCGAGAAAAGCCCAAGAAGACCCCCACGAAGGCAACGGAACCTACAGCGTCTGGGGGCCCCCTGGAGCGTGGACAGGCGAAAACACGTACCCCGCGCGGACGCGCCAAGCACATGCTGGCCCCGCCCCTCCGCGCACGCATCTGCACGCGCAAAGAATCCGACGATGAGAAGTTACATCCCCCCCCCCCCTGGGGGCCGTGGACACGGGAGAACACGTCCCCCGCGCGCAGGCGCCAGGCGCATGCTGGGCCCCATCCTCCGCGCACGCACTTTCACGCGCAAGGAATCCGACGCCTAACAGCTGGGTCCCCCCCCGGGGGGCCGTGGACCGGGAAAACACGTCCCCCGCGCGCACGCGCCAGGCGCATGGCGGGCATCCCCCCTCCGCGCACGCATCCTTACAAGCAAAGGATCCGGCGACTAGAAGTCGGGTCTCCCTCTGGGGGGCCCGCTGCGGCGAGGAATGTGTGAAAACGCAGGCCGAACGCCTGCACGCCCAGACGCATGTTGGAGACCACCCCCCTCCGCACACGCACACCGACGCCCGCTGACAGCGGGCCGCTGTTCGACGCCCTTGCGGTACAGGGCCAAAGGCTCGCCAACACAAGGAGAACTCTGGGCTGGAGCCCTTACGGGAAACAGTTACCATAAAAGAGTCTCACAAGGGGCGGGCCACGCGCGCGCGCACCCACTCGAGCATGTCACAAGCATTTACAACCAGTGGCTCCCTGCGCAGTTCAACATCGAGCTACTCCATCACTTATACACGACACTGACACTGTAGCGGAAAATGTGGTGGGTTTTCTGCGAGCGCACTACTTCATCATCCTCATCATACTCATCATCATCCTCATCATCATCGCCATCATCATCAGCAGCATCATCAGCAGCATCATCACCTTTGTCTACGACATCGTCATCGTCATCGTCATAAACACCATGGTCATTGTCGGCATCAACATTATCGTCATCACCATCTGCATCACCATCGGCAACAAACTCATCGCAACCGTCGTCCTTGTATCATAGTCACCACCATCTCAACTACCATCATTACCGTGATCATAGTAGCCATCATTCTGATCGTGATCGTCATCGCCGCTGTCGCCACCATCGTCAACCGCGTTTCCACCACATCGCGCCCTGCAGGACGGCCCTCTTCTGCTCGACAGGGGTCCATGCGCCAACGCGCTTGTCGGGACGTGCTGGCAAGCTCGCACCGGCAACTGCTACAATGACCGCACGGGCGTTGCCCACGAGGTGCGGGCGGACGAGCGGGAGAGTTGCTGGAGCGCTGGAGGTCGGAACGCGAAGACGCCACAGGAGGTGGACTGCACCACGTAGTCTGCGCCACAGAGTCTGCACCCCATCAGTTTCCACCGCAGAAGGAAGGTACTCCAGATTTCGTAATAAAGGGAGGGGGTCTTATTTCGGGGGGGGGTCTCTTCCAGGCTATCTTGGAGGGCCTGGGGGGTCTGGGGACGACGTTTTGGAGGGTTCTCCCACGGGGGAGGTCTGAAATGGCTTGTCTTGGAGGGTCCAGACCCCCTCCCTTTTATTACGAAATCTGGAGTAGGCCAGGCTCTACCACCCTCTTCCGTGGGGTCAGCGCATCCCCCCTCGGAACACTGCAGAATGACGCGCTACTGCCCCATCGTTCAGATCCCTACGAACGCATACCATCCCAGCCAACCGAGCACGCAACCTCCTCACCCCTACCAAAAAGCACCAGGCACGTATACTCGCTCAGCTTTAAGGCAAACATGCCAATGACCCCTTGCTAGAAAATGCACGAGCCCACATGTGCGCACGCACATGTAGACATCACACCAAACACACGAATTCTGCGAGCACGTCAGCATGAAATCTTCAAAATCCCTTCGGTATTTCAGAATACTGATGCAAATGTATTATCGGTACGCATGTGTTGAAACCATGGGAAACCATATGTATGCGATAATCTCGTTCAGAAGATTCAGAAGCCGCATTTTCCTTACAAGATCATCAGCTTCCAGATAATTTCAAGATAACTTAAAAAAATCGTTCCGACAAAAAGATCTGCCTATCCGCGCACGCTCACTTCCTTGCCATTATCGTTATCGCCGCCATTGCCAATCTCATCAGTCAACCACCTTCCTCACCGGCACATGGACATGATGATCGGCACCGTCGTCATTAACATCGGCGCCGTCACTGGATTTGCCGTCGTCATCGTTTCCATTGTACCACCCTCGTTGTTATCATCGTCGTTGCCGCCGTTGCCGACGTCATCATGATACCGCGCGGTGCCCGCGCGCCAGTGCGGGCTTTGAGTTTTCATCTGTAAGCACCATTGCAGCCGCGGCAGTAGGGCCGAACCAGCTGGCCGCTCTGCGCGCGAGCTCGTGCGCGCTCACCGGGATCGCGGCCGCGCGGATTGTGCAAAGCAAGCTGCGGACTGGGAGGGTGGCATGACTGCGCGAGCAGTGGAGTTGACGACTCCGAGCTCTGCAAGACGGACTGCAACCGATAGAGTTAGGTCGGGCATCTCCCCCCTACAGGTGGTTTTTGAACGAAACACGGCAAATACCCCAAAAATACCCCCCAAAATACTCAAAAGCGGTACTTGAAAAAAGAGTCCCCAGACTATGTTCTGACTATCTTTGACTACTCCCCCTGTAGTCGGGAGCGGCAAAGAGGGGGGTGTCCAAGAGGGGGGGTGCAAATCATGACCGGCGGCATGTGCGCGGCCCAGCGGGGGGGCCAGGGACGCAATGAAACGAGAAGAGGCGCCATGAAACCCGAGGAAAAATCCTGGCCCGCGCCATGAAATCCACCCCCCCCCTAGTCATCACCCCCCTCTTTTCCGCTCCCGATGTAGGGGGACAGGCCCGACGTAACGATAGAGCGCACCACCTGCGGTCGGGAGCGCCGCCGCGGCGGCTGCGGCCCCGGCGACCCGCCGTGCCGTGCGAGCGGACAGCGGGCCGCCGGCGCGCCGCGCCGAGGCGCGGCGGGCCGGAGCTTTTCGGAGCGGCACGCCAGCCAAGAGCTCCTGGCCGCAGAGTGCCGTCGGGGCGTTGACCCTAAGGAACTCCTCCTCCCTCCTCCCTCCTCCCTCCTCCTCCTCCTCCCTCCTCCTCCTCCTCCTCCTCCTCCTCCTCCCTCCTCCTCCTCCTCCCTCCTCCCTCCTCCTCCTCCTCCTCCCTCCTCCTCCTCCTCCCTCCTGCTCCTCCTCCTCCTCCTCCTCCTCCTCCTGGCCGCAGAGTACCGTCGGGGCGTTGACCCGAGGGAACCATCAATGAGGAACGAGGCCCCTGTCTCCCAGAAGTGAAACTTCGATTCCCCGCCGGAAGCAGAAGGAAAACCCGAGGCAAGCTGCGAAACGATCAGGGGACACCGAGCCCCTCCCCAACGAAAAGGGTTCCTTCTTCAGCGCCCCGACTGTACGCCTCGAGAGTAGGAGGACCCATGGGGGGGCGAGGCCGGTTTGGCGATCCCTCTGCACCGAGGGGGGAGCTAGATTCTCCCCGCCCCATGAAGCGACCGCAACACGCGCTTTCCTTCCTCGCCCTCTGGCTATTTCTCGGTGTTCCTCTCTCTCTCTCTCTTGATCCCCGTCTCTCCGCCTTTCTCCCTCCCTTCCTGTCGGAAAGGATGGACGGGGATCGTGAGCTCAGCAACGCAGTGAGACGCAAGCTTACTGCAAGCTGACCATACAGAGACAGGGTCACACAAGACCCTTTCCCCGCTCCACTTGCAGGAAAGAAGTAAGGGTGAAGGTAGGGTGAGTGCATGAGCATAGGGGTCAGGGAGCAGGGCAAGGAGCGGGGAGGAACAGACGGAGCAATGGAGACAGGGAGGAGAGTAAGTGGGCAGCGGGGGGTGGAGGGAGAAATGCATGGGGTGAGCGTGGGTATCGGTCCTGGCCGTCCCTCTTGTCTACCGACTCCTGCTCGACGTTGCGCCAACGCGTGGTCAGCGTCTTTCGAACGTACCACGCCGTCTCCATGGGAAACCGCAAGTCAAAGCTAGGGAGAACGACTTTGACGAACGTGTCCTCGTCCTCTCGGCTGGCCGAGAACAAACTTTATGGAGCGACAGAGACGAAGTGCGAGATTCCCGATTCGCCCTTTTCCCCTTGCACAATATTCCCATTCCCCACTCCTCACCTCCCCCCTCTTCCGCGCGTCCACTTCCACTTTCACTTACCCGCTTAATTACACTAACTTTCACCTGCAGTGCCGTAGTGCTCGCCCCCACCGGTCACCCACTTCCACGAACCGCGTGGTGCAGGCCCAGTGGACGTGTTGGCCACGCCCCCCTCCCAATCTCTCCCGGCCCGTCAAGGAGCGGTGGGTCTGCTGGTCCTCGTCGAGCTGCACCACAAAGAGCGTGCTTCCGGCTTCCTGCCACTGGCAGACGCCAATATCGGGTGTCCACACGACCTTTCCCGGCTTGTTGAACTCGATCAGCAAGAAGTGTGGAGCTGGTGGCACGATGCGCTCCCTCAGCGCCCTCATCGGCAGATACTTCTGGCCTACCTTGAGCCAGCCATCCCCCTCATCCACACCAATGACGGTCGTGCCCCACGGAGCAACCTCTCCGCTTGGATCAAGATCTCCCTCGTCATCGTAAGGACGGGGCTTGCGTGCGTAGTAGAAGAGACCTTCCACATCCGGCATGTCTTCGTTATTTCTCTTTAGCAAGCGCTTGCCAGCATGTTCCTGGCTGCTCTTCCTGATGAGAGAAGGCCTTCCAGACGATCCTGAGAATTCAGAAGGCTTCCCCTGTACTTCAGAAGGCTTGACAACTTCGTAATCGCGTATGTGACTTGCCTGGGTCATCCAGAGTCGGGCCAAGAAACGTGTGTCGGGCCGGTCGCCGATAATCCTATGGTTGACCGGCCGCATGAAAGCCTGGAGGTTGGCGTCCAAATTGCCGCCGAACTTCGAAACGGACCACCAAAGCTTCTCTGGCGCCGTGAGGTGCGAAACGTATCGCCACCCAAGCTTAGAAAGATCGCTGCCCGCCCCCCTGGCCAGATGTCGACAGACCAACTCCACTCTCGAGGCATCACCAGCTCGTCGTGCCTCAAGGCTGGCACCGCCACGCGCCAAAGGGGTCCTCCGCGGCATCAAGGCGACAAGGAGGACCCCCATGAGGCTCCCGAGACAATCCCGGAGCTGGCGAAACTTCGAAACAGGGGCTCCTCTGTCGAACGCCCCGCCTGGCTCCCTCCTGACGACTGGCTGCAATGCCAGCGGGGGAGCAGAATCCGTCGAGCAGGTTCTCGGGCCACGGCACGGCATCATCCTCGAGAGCGTGTCTTGTTATTCGCAACAACGTCCGTTGCCGGCGCCCGCCCTCATCCCCCCGTCCCCCCATGGGTGCCTTGGTGACGTCACGACTCCCGCCCGGTCTGGCAGGCAAAACAGCCAAAATGAGTCCTATACTCCTCCTCCTCCTCCGCCTCCCCCTCCTCCTCCTCCTCCTCCTCCTCCTCCTCCTCCTCCTCCTCCTCCTCCTCCGCGTCCTCCTCCTCGTCCTCCTCCTCCTGCTCCTCCATTCCTTCTCCTTATGAATAACGTCTCCCTGTCGCACCCCGAAGAATTGTTTTAGAGCGGGCTGGACGTTTCGCCCGAGACTTCCTCACCACTTATGACCCTGAAGCTTGAACAAGTTGGCAACAGCTTCACAGATAGAGCGCGGGTGGTTTTCAAAATGTGGTTCTCGCCTTAGCGCCGCGCGCATTCGTTTTCAACATTTGCAAGAGCTCCACGGATTAAGGGCAGCCCGTTTTCAAAATGTGGTTCTCGCCTCAGCGCCGCGCGCATTCGTTTCCAAGAACGCAGGAGCTTCACGGACTGAGGGCAGCCCGTTTTCAAAATGTGGCTCTCGCCTAAGCGCCGCGCACATTCGTTGAAGACTTTGCAAGAACTTCACGGATTGAGGGCGACCGACCCGTTTTCAAAATGTGGCTCTCGCCTCGGAACGGCGCACATTCGTTGGAAAGATTCCAGAAGCTTCACGGATTCAGGGCAGCTCCTTTTCGATAAATGTTGCTCTCGATTTAGCGTGGCGCACAGTCGTAAAACATGTGCAAGCGTTTCACGGTTAACCAACATAAACATACCAAACCTGGTGTTTTGAGAAGGCTCACGGTTATGCTGGTACATCAATTGAGTTGATTCACGGCGTTGAAAACTCAGGAATAGCGTTCTGGCACTTTTCCGGATCGTCGAAGCGCAATAATCAATATGATGCGTGGCGGTGGAACCCCGAGAACACTGTTTAGGCGTGCTTCAGGGTCTTCAAAAGGTTTTCTTCCAATGAGGCAGCTGCTTCTGTGGAAATGAACCCCAGTAGGGGCCTGTGAAGAGGGGGCTTGGAGGCAGGGTTATTCCAACATCGTTGATGACTCTTCTTTTTTGTGTGTACTTCTCTCCACTGCACTGGTCTGCCTCGTATCTCGGCCTCTTGCGTCCTGACGTGCTTTAAACGAACAGGCTCCAGGGCCGCCCTGACCGGGCAGGAGGGAGCTGGAGCCCCCACAAAGCCCTGCGGCAGGATCACTGCGGCAGGACAGCGCAAATGAACAGGTCACACCTCCCCCGTGGGCGGGACGCAAGCAGAGCGAGGAATCTCCACAGGGAGAGAAGCGCAAGAACATGACTTTGTCGCGCGGCCACAGAGCCAGAGCGCGTAAATAGACAGAGCCCAAGGGGCGTCCAGCACGCAGCTCTCGTCACCCCCCACGTGGTCAACCAGGAGACCCAGTGCGGAGCGAGGCTGGACGAGCGGACCGACCAAGCTCAGAGCGTTCTTCGCGGGACGGCCAACACGCGTCTTACCCACAGAAACACTCCTCTGCCAACTGGGGGGCAGGAGAAGGAGGAAGCGAGGACAGTGTACACGAGCAGCAGACCATACATCACCAGCAGTATGTGCGACAATATGCTGAAAAAACAGCGGTGCGGTGATCACGCTTCAGTTACCTTACAGTGCCAAGACTCGGCCAAGCGAAAATCTGCTGTCGGCAAAGCACCGTGAAGATGAGTCGGTGCCCAGCCGACCCCAAGACTACCTCCTGCTCCCAACATCGTTGATGACTCTTGGGCTGACACTGGTCCTCCTCCTCCTCCTCCGTCTGCACTTGCTCCTCCTCCTCCTCCTTTCCTTTGTAAGTAACTTCTCCCTGTCGCACCGCGAGGGGCCAATGTTTCGGGCGGGCCAGGCGTTTCGCCTGAGACATCCTCACCACTTATGACTCTGAAGCGTACACCTTTGCAACAGCTTCACAGATGGAGGGCGGGTCGTGTTCAAAATGTGGCTGTCGCCTGAGCGCTGCGCATATTCGTTTTAAACACTTGCCAGATTTCCACAGGACGAGGGCGATCCGTTTTCAAAATGTGGTTCTCGCCTCAGCGCGGCGCACATTCGCTTTAAATATGTACAAAATGTTCACAGATTGAGGGTGACCCGTTTTCAAACTGTTGCTCTCGCCTTAGCGCGGCGCACGTTCGTAAAAAATGTTGCAAGAGCTTCGCGGATTGAGGGCGGTTCCTTTAACATGCGGTTTTCGACTCAGCGCCGCGCATATTCGATTACAAAGTGTGCAAGAGCCGAACGGCTTCCCATCATAAACATACCAGAAATGGCGGTTTGAAAAGATTCCAGATTATGCGGCTGCATCAGTTAGGTTGGTTCGCGGCGTTGGAACACCAAGAATGGCGTTCTGGCACTTTCCCGGATCGTCAAGACGCAACAGTCGGGTTGATCCGTGGCGTTGTAATCCCGAGAACACTGTTTAGGCATGCTTCAGGGTCTTCAAAAGGTTTTCTTCCAACGAAGCAGTTCCCCCAATGGAGATGAACCGAAGTAGGGGCCAATGAAAAGGGAGCTTGGACAGAGGGTTAATTCCAACATCGTTGATGACTCTTGGGTTTTAACTGGTACTCCACCTCCTCCTCCTCCTGCTCCTCCTCCTCCTTCTCCTCCTCCTCCTCCTCCTCATCATCACCATCAGCAGCAGCATCCTCATAATCATCGTCACCATCATCATATGCATCATCGTCAGCATCAGCATCATCATCACCATCACCATCCCCATCAGCATCACCATCATAATCGACGTCATCATCAGCATCATCATCCTCATCCTCACCATCATCATCATCATCATCAGCATCATCATCATCATCATCATCATCATCAGCATCATCAGCATCATCATCCTCCTCATCCTCAGCCTCATCCTCATCCCCATCCCCATCCCCATCCTCCTCACACACGTGCTGCTGCTCCTGCTCTGATTCTGGCTCGGGTTCCTATTCTTGTTCCTGCAACTGTTCCTGCTTCCGTGCCTGATCCCTCTCCTGCTCTTGCTGCGATTATAGCTTCGATCCGTGCTCCTGCTCCTGCTGCTCGTCCTGAAACTGCTTATGATCTCGATCCTGCTTCTGCTCCAGCTCCAACTCTGGCGCCAGTTCCTGCCCCTGCTTCTGTTCGGGTCCTGGCCCCAGCTCCTGTTGATGGTCCTTCTCTTACTCCTGCTCCTGGTGCGGCTCGTGTTCCTGTTCCCTGCTCCTGCCCCGGCCTGCTCCTGCTCCTCCTGCTGACCCAGCACATGCTCATACTAAAGCTGTTGGTAAGTGTGTGGCTAGCTTTCTCCTCCTCTTCGTATTCGTCCTCTTCGTCCCATTAGTATTATCATTCGCCTTATTACTACTAGTTGATAGTATTACTATTATCGTCATCATCATCAGCAACACCACCACCATCATCATCATCATAATCAAGAATAATCATAATAGTATTAATAGTACCAGGGTTAGTGCCATCAGTACTATAAGTGTTGCTATCATTCTTACTAGCTGTATCAATAGTAATAATAATACTAGTAGAACTACTAGTACTGTTAGGATGATTATTGCTATTGGTGCTGGTGGTGTCAATAATGCTATTGCTACTATTGGTATGATTGCGGAATACCACCAGTAACTACTATTAGTATGGGTACTATTACTAGTACTAGTAGTGTTACTTGTTGGTCGTATAATCACGATGATTACTATGAGTACGAAAATAAGTAATAGTAATACTAACAGTAGTAGTAGTAGTAGTAGTAGTAGTAGTAGGAGTAGTTAGTAGTTAGCAGTTAGTAGCTAGTAGCTAGTAGTAGTAGTAGTAGTAGTAGTAGTAGTAGTAGTAGTAGTAGTAGTGGTAGTAGTAGTAGTAGCAGTAGTAGTAGCAGTAGTAGTAGTAGTCGTAGTAGTAGTCGTAGTAGTAGTAGTAGTAGCAGTAGTAGTAGTAGTAGTAATAGTACCCGTAGTCTTGTTATCATTATCCGTAGTCGTCTTGTTCTCATCATTATTATTATGGGTCCGCGTGCTCTTCTGATTTGCATTCGTAATATTACTCTGAGCGTTATCAGATTGAGGGGGCCGAACGGTCATTCACTGTCCCTGGGTGCGTGGCTGAAATGGGATTCCGGGATGCGGATCATTGTTGTTGCTTGTTGTTGTTGCTGCTATTGTTGCTGTTATTGTTGTTGTTGGTGGTGTTGTTATTGTTTGACGTCGTCCCCCACCGCGACCCGGCCCGCGACCCGGCCCGCGACCCACACCTCGACCCGCCCGCGACCCACCCGCGACCCACCCGCGACCCACCCCGCGACCCACCCGCGACCCACCCGCGACCAACCCGCAAACCACCCCGCGACCCACCCGCGACAGCCCGCGACCCACCCGCGACCCACCCGCGACCCACCCGCGGCCCACCCGCGACCCACCCGCGACCCACCGGCGACCCGGCCCGCGACCCACCCGCGACCGACCCACATTGCTTTAACGAAACATTCGCGCCTGCGGCGGGCCCGTTGTAGACCTTGTAAGAATTAGGCGCCTGTGGCGGGCTTTTTCAGAACCTGGCAAACTGCTGGCGTCCCCGCCGCCCCCCCACTTTTATCCACAACTGCGGGGTGCTACGCGGGTTGTTAATATTTCTCCTCCTCCGCCTCCTCCTCCTCCGCCTTCTCCGCCTCCTCCACCTCCTCCTTTTCCTCGTCCTTTTCATCCTCCTCTTCCTCGCTGCTCGCTGCTACTGCCCCATGTTGCTCCTGCTCCACCTGCTGATCCTGCGCATGCTCATGCTGAAGATCCGGCTCCGTATGAAGCATTCCTCCTCCTCTTCCTTCTCCGCCGACTCGTCTTAGTAGCATTAATGTTCCGTCTTCCTCTTATCAGTAATAGCACGATGATTAGCATTAGCCGTAGTCGTTTTCTTATTAAAACCACGAATCGTAATGTCATTAA